TAGCACCGTAATTCATCCTCAAACGGATGGGCAATCCGAACGTGTGATTCGGATTTTGGAAGACATGTTGAGAGCATGTGCCTTGGAGTTCCAGGGAAGCTGGGACAATCAGTTGGCTTTAGTTGAATTCTCCTATAACAACAGTTATCAGGCGAGTATAGGCATGCCACCATACGAAGCATTGTATGAGAGGAAATGTCGGACACCATTGTGTTGGGACGAGGTCGGCGAGGCTAAGCTCGAGGGCACCGAGCTAGTCGAGATCACTAAAGAAAAGATAAAAGTCATACCTGATAGGCTCAAGGCTGCCCAAGACCGGCAGAAGAGTTATGCTGATAAACGTCGGAGGACGTTGGAGTTTGAGGTTGGTGACGAGGTATTTCTGAGGGTATCACCTTGGAAAGGGATCATCAGGTTCCTCAGTCGGGGTAAGCTTAACCCACGTTACATAGGTCCATTCAAACTCCTTGAAAGGATTGGGGTTGTAGCCTACTGACTTCAGTTGACCCCAGAGTTAGAGAAGATTCACAATGTGTTTCATGTTTCTATGCTCAAGAAGTATGTGCGGGACCCGTCACATATTCTTGAGAAACCACCGGTGGAAATCCGAGAAGACCTACACTATACGGTGCAGCCGGTAAAGATCATAGACCGACAGGTGAAGAAGCTAAGGAGAAAAGAGGTGCCAATGGTAAAAGTACTTTGGAAGAGTGATCGCGTCGAGGAGCAAACTTGGGAAGTGGAGACCCTGATGAGGGAACAATATCCATTCCTGTTTGATTAGACACGTGGATTTCAGAGACGAAATCCCAAATAAGGGGGGTATAACTTGTAACACCGCCCCCAAGTAATTGTACTTTATCAAATTATGTATTGAACCATGAGAAATGAATAAACACATTTTACGTGATTGTAAATTTTTATCATTTCTTTTACGTGAATAGTAAAATTCACGTGGGGCCCACACCGGAAGTGGGGGCTGCCTGATATTATCGGGACCACATATTATATTAATCTTGGCCTAGATAATATGTATATGGTGGTGGATATCATAATTGGGCCATGGCAATGGCATAGGGTTGAATATTGATTTATGAATTTACGTGGTTGTAAATTTTTGGTTATTTCTTTTGCGTGAATAGTGAACTGCACGTGGGGCCCACACCGGGAGCGGGAACTGTTCGGTAATCCCGGGACCACATATTATATTCATCTTGGTCTAGATAATATTTATATGATGGTATATATATTTTAGTTGGGCCATAGAAAGGGCTTAGGGTTGACCCGTCGGTCAAACGAAGCCCCATTACTGGTATTGGTAATTTACCGGATAACAGTCCGAATTAAATTTCGGAGACTTCTAAATTAAAGTTGGGGAACCTACAATTATTCTAAAGGTCCATAGTGATTGAAATCACACAATATATTTTATTTGGCATGATAAAATAAAATATAATTAAAAGAGTCCGAAAAATAAAACTTTCGGGACCGATTGTACATTTCGGGACACAAAGGGATGACCTCCCACATGAGTGGGGGCCACCCCACGTTTTTATGAGCTGGGATAGACAAGGAAAGGGGCTGGTTAACTTGTAAGGGAAGAGGGTGAGGTGATGAGCATCAAAGGTACACCCACGGTCCCCATTTCTCCCCACTCATTGTCCAAGCAAGACAAAAGAGCCAACTCCAACCCCCCTCATCCCATTATTTCGGCCAGAGCATCAAAGAAGAGAGATAGAGAGCTCCAAGATCAGAGTCCATTGTTGTAGCTCAAGCTCAAGCAAGAGTGGTTCAAAAGGGGGAGTTTTAAGAGGGAAAAAGGAAGGAAAAACTTGGATAAATAAGGTAATGACATTATACTAACTTTTCCTCTATTTTTTATTTATCATATGATTTATATATCATATGGAGGACTCCTAGAATCATTCTACACATTTAGAAGTGTAGAATGGGGGGTTGGAAGGTAGTTCTAAGTCCAAGAACGGACTTAGAAGCCAAAACGACCGGTTCGCCGAAAAATAACCTTTTAGGGGTCATTTGTGTTGATATGGGTTTTGTAATGATAAAATCACGTTAGAAGCTTGAATAAAGTGGTTCTAGATTTCGCCGGAGTTTCGCCGGAGTTTCGCCGAAGTTCGCCGGAGTCTCACCGGAGTTCAACTAAGAAGAGTAGAATCTTCCTAAAGCTCATTTGAGGTGAGTGGATGGTTTAATGTCTTGTAACTTTTGGGTTAAGCATGAGATTACCCAAGTAGATGTTATGTGTGTTCATAATAATGTTTAAATGAATTAAACATGTGATTAGCCAATTAAAGTGATTAGGCTTGTATGAAGTGAACTATTGAAATATGCATGATTTGTGAAGTGAAAATGCTCATAAAAACATATGTGATATGTTTGGAGATGAAATGTGCATAAAATAGTTATTTATAACTTAGTACATATTGTTACTAAGTTTGACACACATTGGATTTGGAATGGCGGGTCAACCGAGAGTTGACCGGCATCGGTTTGGCCTTACTTTACCTATATGCTAATTTTAATGCATGAGTTGCATGGATGATTTTGCTTAGGCCTTAAGACTTGGTCTAGTCTTGTTTATTGATTATGATATAGGCCTTATCTAGTATGATATGTGGTAGATCATAGGTTGGGTGGAGTACCCAAGGATCGGGCGGTATCCTCAAAACTCGGTTATATAGGGTGGAGTACCCAAGGATCGGGCGGTATCCTCAAAACTCGGTTATATAGGGTGGAGTACCCAAGGATCGGGCGGTATCCTCAAAACTCGGTTATATAGGGTGGAGTACCCAAGGATCGGGCGTGTATCCTCAAAACTCATAGATTACTATTTAGTAATTCAGGACCGGGCAGTGTCCTTATGATTATTTGATTTGAGCATGAGGAGTCCTATACACTCATAGGTCTATGGGTGGGTTGGGGTTTTAAGTCAAGGACATTGACTACTATTATTTTTCCCAATTAAACAATGACCTACGGGTCGGGTATTTCCATTTGTATATAAGTACTGATATGTATTTTGTAACTTGGGGTAAGGAAGTATAAGTATATGTATCACCCTATGTTTGGGTCTTATACTTGAAACGTTAGTTACTCTACATTTAGCTTGCTACTCGCTCGGTACTTGTACTGACCCCTTCGTGGGGCCCCACCATTTCAGGTTGAAGCTAGAGCCTGTTGTCTACACCTTTGCACGGGTGGAAAGAATCTAGAGGAAGACGTGGTTTGTGCTTCCTTTATTATTTTAAATCATAAACTATGCTCATGGATACTTTTGTAATATTACATTGTTTTGGCCTGCGAGCCTACGGTTTGCCATATGTGGCTTATGATTGACCGTTGAATATTTTCCGCTATTCATTCAATCTATGATGTGATGTTGTTATGTATGTTTACTACTGAGTATGGTGTGAACGATGTTCATGAACGCCTTGTGTGATTATGTGAGGTTGACTTGCGAGTGACGTCACTTAATCACACGGCAGTTGTACACGCGCTTAGATGCGGTCTGGGGCATGACATTTTAAGTAAAGAAGAAGTTGAGAACTAAGTATGTTTTTACTTAGACTATTTTAAGTCCTCGGCCAGATCAGACTAGATCAGACCAAACTAGATCAGATCAGACCATACTTGGACAGTAATAAAGTACACAGAGACCAAACATTTATCAGACCAAACTAAATCAATTCCAGTCCAACTAAAAACATCTAACATATTTAAAAAAACGGGTGAGTAGAGTTGCTAGAGATTTTCACCCTTCCCCGTCCACTCAAATTCTAACTAATCAGTTAAGATTTTATTGACCTAAATAGGACTAAGTTATTGTTCAAATTCCCAAAAAGGAGCAGATAAATTTTATTCCCTAAATAGGACAACTATTCCGAATTTACCCTCCTACGTGCATCCTTCTCCTCCACCCAGACCTTTCCCTTCTTCATGCATCATCCATTCAACTTCTCTTCTTGGGTAGATTATGTTTTCTTCTCTCCAATTCTTATATTCTCCCGTTCTCCAATATGCTCAAATTGCAGGTTGCAAGATGGTGAGTTTTCTTCTACGCTCATCTTTTCGAATTTGAAACCCGCAAGAACGAGCTCTTCTGGTGCGACGAGCAACGGCGGCAAGCATCGGCCAGCTACGAGCATCGGTGAGCAGGGGCAAGCAACGAGTGAGTGAGTAGCAATTCCAATCCAGATCTGTAGGCAGAGTAAAGTAGCTCATTCTTCTTCTTCTTCTTCTTCTTCTTCTTCTTCTTCTTCTTCTTCTTCTTCCTCCTCCTCCTCCCCCTTCTCATCTTCTTGTTTTGTCTCTTCCCCTCTTCTGTTTGGTCGTCAGATGCTCATCTTCTTTTTTATTTGTTACTCTTGCCATTTTTCCTCCGAAAATGCCATTAAAATGACATTCTTACTCTTCAAAAATTTTGTATTTTCCTTTGAAAATGCCATTATGGCATTCTGGGTTCATGTTGACATTCTGCTAAAAAAGTTTGCATCAGCGGCGACGGCAGTCAGAAGTGCAGTAGCAGTGGCCGGATCTGTAGGGGCACCAACGGCAGCCAAATCCGGTCAGATCTATGGCGACGGCGACCGGATATTCAGTGGAAGTGGTCAAATCTGCAGGTTGGCTATTTTTTAGGATGCGACGGCGACAGACAACAACTGCTCCGAAGGTCTGCCAATAGCAGTATGTGCTGTCAAGCTTCAGGGGTATTTCTGTCCAACTACAAATAATAACTCCTATTTAAGGAATTTTTAAAATTTAGTCCTATTTTGGAAATTAAGAATTTAATTACTCCTATTTAGGTAAATCTCTCATTACTAATTTTTTTTGGAAATATCTTCCATCATTAGTTAATTATTATAGTGTGAATATACAAAAGTGTGTACAAATGACATTTTTGAACAAAAAAATCTCAAGCCCAGCCCAACTTCTAACTTCTGAGATATAATACAGTTGATGTAGACGAAGCATTCGAAAATAAGCTTTGGCCATGGAGTTTTCTCGTCTCACTGAAGCCTTGGCCTCCAAATCGTATGACAACATCCCCTTAATTTGTGATGATCTCATGCTATCGGTAAGTTCTAGAATACAGCCAATATTTTTCTCTACTTACTGTCACGTTGCATTGTTTCGACATCAGTCCGGATACCTAATTTTGGCTCCATTCTTTTATTCATTTAGTTTGCTGCAAAGGGAATTACGTTTCATGAAGAATGGCCCTACACGATTCATCTCTTGGGACACCTTTACAACAATGACATGTACTCGTTATGTTTTCAGACGTTCAGGGTTTAATGAATACGAACCTAATAGTATTCAGTTCCAATTTTTTCTTATGTACTTTGTTTCTTTATTTTAGCTTCAGTGCGCGGTTTTTGTGGAAGACAACACCAGCTGAGATAAAGGTGAGCCGGCCGGAGATGGTAGCAGTTTGGAAAATTGGACAGAAGTTATGGAAAAGGGACTATGCGGGAGTTCACGAGGCCCTACGTGCATACGATTGGAGCCCAGAGGTCAGGGAGATCGTGGTTTCTATTGCAGGCAAGCATTAAATTCAATCCTCTACACATTTCTGCTATTTTGGCATGGTTGGTTAATCGAGTAAATAGAACAAAAGTATACACTGAAAGAATCAGGCATTCATGTAAGAATTCTGGGATGTATAGCTTTTTTAGAAATTCAGGATTCATAGTTGTCTAAGATTAGATATTACCACTAGGAAGGTGGTAATATGGATTTCTCATCATCATCATCACCCCGGTGCCGCAAAGGCTCACACCTACGGTGCGGTAAAGGGCATAGAGAGACTATTTCCGGATGACCCACAGTGAAAATTGCGTCGAAAATTGCATGGATTGACCGATGCTTCATAACAAAGAAGTGCAGACAGTTTGGTGAGCCATTTTGCTTTATTCCATCATATTTCCAAACCAAAAAATAGTGAGTCTTTGGCTCCATTGTAAATGATGGAAACCACTATGACATTTGTGATTAAAATAAAATCACATTTAGGTAGGGGTGGGATCGGTCCGGTCCGGGTCGGGTTTTTTCTATACCCGGAAATTACCCGTAAGGCATCGGGTTATGAAAATTAGGGACCGAAAAAAGTCCACTATATTCAGTCCGAGTCGGGTTTTTGTAGCCCGGGTTCGGTCCGGGTTCGGGTTGGGTCAGCTAAAGCCCGAATGTGAAATCACTCATTTTTCTTTTATATTTTAAAATCTATTTTCAAATAAAATTAATAAAAAGTACAAACCGCAAATAAAATTAATAAAAATAGATTTTATAATCATAATATTTTGTTTAAGATGCATAAAAATAAGTAATATAGGTGTTCTAAAAATGTTATGAAATAAAATTTATGGATAAAAATGTGACTAAAGTTACTATAAATATGTTTTCATGGTCATTACGGTAAATAAATTGAATATATTTGTAGTCACTAAAAGTTATTAAGTCATTTTTTCATCCATCATGATTATAATCATATATTAGGAATTAATTTATAAATTATATTTGTATATTATATTGATTTTATATTAAGGCTAATTGTTTCGGGTTTTATCGGTCCGGGCCGGGTTATAGATTTTAGGGTCCGTTAAAGAGCCCGAAATTTCGGGTTCGGTCCGTTTTTTTTATTTGGGCCGGTCAAAAAGAAAAAGCCCGGACCAATATCATAATTCGGGCCGGGCCGAGGCCGGTTTCCGGGTTTCGGTTCGGGTTTTCCCATCCCTACATTTAGGTGACTTCCTGACAGTCCGCATTGTTAACCCAGCAAGTGGCTGGCCTTATCACAAACAGTGGTAGGGGTGGATGACAGAAGATTAGTAGGTTACCTCAAGTTCCCAATCAAATTCACAGAAAACAGGTTTGGGGTTCTATGGGAATTTAAGTTTTCTATGATATATTTTTCTTTGAAGTATTCTAGATTTCACATTTTGGATGTCAAATTTCCTACTCCAAAATTTCACTAAAGTCATGAAATACTTTTCAAGAGTTCTTAACTTTCCACGATATCATGTATAGATTCATTTTAGCCGACCCCAAAATCTTTTTGGGACTAAGGCTTGGATGTTGTTGTTGTAGCATCGTTTTCTAATTCTATTGGTTTAGAGCTAGAGGTAAGGTTTGTTTACAGCTCACTCTCCCCACACCCTGCTTCTGAGTGGGATATACTTGGTATGTTTGATCTGCTCAGTAGTGCATAATCATCTACAATCATGTACGGTACTACGATACTAATGGCAAGATTCTTCCTTCACACTTTTTAGCTTGATATCTTAATTAATTCATCTTCGACTTCATGCTCAATTTTTTGTTACGGGTGGGATAGGATACCTAAATAAAAAAAATGAAATCAGTATTAACAAAGAGTTAAAAGAAAGTGGTATCCGACCTTATCTAAGACTTCAAACAATAACTCCAAAATTATTGACGATAGTATTAATAAATAGAGCACCTCTATATATACTAGTTCCAAGAGTGTTAGCAAACCAATATTAGAGGAACCCTTATCCTATTACAATACTACCACTTGGAATATTAACTAAAACCGACTTCTAGGAAACTCCAATTACAAATGACAATAGGAAACTAATACTTATAAATGATGATGATAACAACAACAACGATAGGAACCCAATAATCAAGAGATCACGTTTGATGATGTGGCGGTTGTTAACCTTGAATTTCTGTCTCAAGATACCCCACGTTTGAAATTGCGCAATACAGAGATATTTACTCCATATACAATAAGAGGTGTATTCCAGTTTATGCAATGGGTATTCTTACACTTTTCCCTACTTAGGCGCACACAATAGACGCTACGCTAGAAGGTGGTTCATGAGGTGTACGGTTCTTACGCTCTCGGCAAATAGGTTTAAACTTAGAAAGCATAAATCAGACCAACTCTTATAATTTAGCCCAGAAAAGTCTTATGGCGGTTTAAGTTTTGAATATTTGCAACCTTTGTGTAAAGTCCAGCAGTGGACAAGCTCCCCTGCTTCAAGTTATAATTTTCTGAACCCTTCTCAGTCAACCGTAAACTCCTACTTTCTATGGTAAGGTTTGGTTTTGATTTTATTTTTTTATCTTTATTTTTTTTTCAGTATATACGAGAAACATGAGAATATGAACTCAATGGTTTATGATGGTTTACATTCGTATATCTGAATGCAAAATTGTATGATTCTTAATATGATAAGAATTGTTCTGCCTTGTACCAATGATGCTAACAGTATGCTTTTACTTTTGTTCTGTTTCCGTTTTATATATTTTTCTACATTAATAATGATTGTTGATGAAAACGGGTTCCTAAATTTGTTTATTAAATAATAAAACTCAACACACAAGAGACTTAAACCCTCTCAAGCTGAGTGAGAAAACAAAAATTGTGCAGAAAGGAGCTTATTGACAGTGGTTCATATTATCAAAGTTTGCACTCCTCAATCTAATAATCTTAGAACATGAATAGCTAGAAAATGTTTTCTATGTGAGGTTTGAACATACAATTTTGATGGGTTTATGACCTCATTTTTGTTGGTCTTGACAATGATATTTGTTGCTTTGTAATGATTATTTTATTTTATTTCATTTTTATTACATTATTTGTACTTTTCATATATAAGTTTGTGTAAAAAGCTTGCGCGATTACGCCTCATTGCGCAATGAGGCTTACACAATGGGCAATGCCAAGAAGAAACCGTCTCATATACGCAATACGCCATTTCGAACATTGGAGATGCAATACAGCATACATACTAATCAGCTCTCCAATCCCTCCATTCTTCTAGTTCTAGTACCTGTAGTGGTCTGTGTATTGAAGAGATATAGAGCGGGTCGGCAGGAGTTATTGGTAGCCACGGCAGGATGGTCATCACAGGTGATGACATTCATAGCAACTGAGCCTGAGTCTTAGATGCAGATTGCAGGGGCTACTGGTTGGAGTATCAATCTTTTTATGGCAGTGACTCGGTTAGTAGAGATATTTCTGGCTGCAATAAAAAGGAGTTAGTAGCGATGGGGGTGGATCTTCTGGCTTCACAATTTCAATGTAAAATAAAAGTTGACATTTGGAAACGATGTTGGCCCCAAATCCATTGTTCGCCACAATTGTAACATAAACCTTTGGCTTGTTGTGCAGGGGCAGTTTGTATTGAAAAAAGTTTTTAAGGACACACTTGTACAACCTCGTCTAAGGTCTCAAACGAGATCTCAGAAAAGTAAAGGTGCCAATTGAGACTTTAGGATCAATGTTGTTATGTTCAGATTATTGGTCGAGAGAAAAGATAACGATGCAAGAGTCTTAAGGTGGAATTCATCGGTGCCTGACCTAGTCAAGACACACTAGAATTAATTCTCTCAAAAGAGCTTTATCAATTTCCATCATTTCCAAAGAAGCCAAAGACTCACAATTTTTTGGCTTGAGAATATGTTGTGTAATAGAAAAATATAAAATCAACGGGGTAAACCGTTGCCCATATAATCAACCATAAAAACACCGTTGCCCAGAGTCAAAAGGCTAAAATCAATTTTATTCCAAGATGTTCAAGAATGAATCCTAACAAGGGGTTTAAATACCCATCTACTAATTCTCAAACTAGGAAACAAAATCCTAAAAATCCTAATCAACTCCAACTAGAAAACAGAATAATAGAGATCCTAATCAACTTCAAATAGGAAACAAATAATAGAAATCCTAGTTAACTCTTAATAGGAAACAAATAATAGAAATCCTAATTAACTCCAAATAGGAAACAAATTAAGAAAATTAAAAAGAATAAATATTAATTAAGCAGCCCGCAACCAGCCCACGAAGGTGGGCTCAAGCCCGTTCCCGCCTTCAGTAAACCCACGGGGGCTTCTGCCCCTCTTCTTCCAAGCCCAGATTCTGCTTCATATCAATTCCACCCCCCTTCGGAAAAACCTTGTCCTCAATGTTGAAATCCGGAAACCGGTTGACATTTGTCCTCGGGGGCTGCCCAATATCTTTAGGGAAGTTGCCACTAAATCCTTTCAGCCCGTTCATGAAATACCCCAAATAATGATCGTCAAATAGCCTTGGGACCTGACTTGTTAATTGAACAAAAATTGAGATGTACTCCGCCACAAGGAATTGACTCCATACAGCCGTTCAAAGCAACTGCCCTTAAACTGTGAGTCATAACTCATAACGAGCCATCAACGCCTGTGTAAGCTCATCCCATGACATGCTCGGCTTTCGTGCCCGTATCCGGGTCAATCGATATAGGGCCAACCTTTCCATCACAACTACAGTGGCTGCCACCTTCTTTCCCGGCGGAGTACAGTTCAGTTCGAACTGATGCTCATCCCTAGCAACCCAGCCGATCGGGTCTTCTCCGTCAAACGAGGGCAGCATCGTGAGAGAAGTGCTGCACAGACCCGTTCCAGATGTGGATGTTGATGTCACATCGAGTGAAGCACCGTCAATGAATTCTTCTCCGCCGCTGACGGCACGAGAGCCTTCGTGAGCGCAGCCATGGAGGATGCGATCTCTGCTAGTAGGATTCCTTACGCGTCCA